AAGGGTATATGGTACAAAAACCTTTGTTAAGGGCGACATGAAGGGTAGAGACGCTATGTGTAGCTGTAACAGGGGAGGGAAAGATCATTTCCAGCTAGGGTGGCTTCAGAGGCTGAGTGATGAGGGTTGGGCCTGTAAGAATGAGCAGGACCAGGACCTCTAGGGGGAATAAGAAGGCAGTTGGCAGGAAGTAAATGACACATGAGGACAATGAGAGGGAAGAATAAGGCATACTTGGGGCACAGTGAGTGAGGGCAGAGAAGTGCATGACTAGGTTGGGAATGTGTGTCCTGGGGCTCAATTCTGATGGATGCTGAATGTCAGGATGAAGAGTGCAGGATTTACTCTGTGGGTAGTAGGTATACTGTCAGCGCCTTCAAGCAGGAGAATGGCAGTTAAAAGCAGGGAAGAGTAAAGTTTAATTTGATGGTAATATGCAAGATTTATCTGAAGGAAGGGGCAGGGCTGGAAGCAGGAAAACTAGAGAAGAGATTATTTTAAGAGTTCAAATGAGAAATGGTGAAGCTCTAAGGTAGTGACAGATTCAGGAGATATAGTGAAGCAGGAAGTAGGGCTTTGTCTGTGGGAGAGGGAGAAATCAGATGTCTGAGACCTTGATTTCAAGTTGGGGCAACCTGACCATTTAATAAAGATAGGCCGGTATAATTAATGTAAGACCAGGAACTATAGTCAAACAGCTGAGTTTTCCCTCCCTACCTCCTTCTAGGTCCCACCCATCATCTAAGGCCCAAGTCAAGGTCCTTTTCCTCCTTGAAGCTTTCTCTGTTTATTTCCAGCAACCCTGGCCATTGCCTTCTCTGAGCTCCTATTGGCCCATTGACAGTGGCCCAAAGTCACTGGCCTAGTGACTTTTCCTTTAGCTCTTTCTCCAAGTGGCCTTATATGAAGAGGCTTTCTGCTACCCAGAGAGCATATCATTCACCAAGGTGAAAGATCTTCCTCCTCTGATACCTAGCCCTTTTCACTTAAAGAACACGGTAAAGTGCTAGATATCAGTAGGTCCCTGAGAAATAATTATTGATTCATCAGTGATCACAGGGAAGGAAGTTGAGTAGAGAAAATGGGAGATAACATAGGGACATATTGAGATAGTAGTCCTCATTCTAAGACCTAGGTTGGTTCTCAAGCCTGGCAGTAACCAGCTTGTGTAACCTTGAACAGTTTACTTAAATCTCTCTGAGCCTTGGGTTTCTCATTCATCTAATGGGGCAAAGACTCTTTACTCACAGGCTGTTGAGAGGGTACTTGGGATACCCCACTGTCCTACATAAAGCAGCTATCCCCGTGTAGGGCATATGACAGGCACTCAGTTAATAGTGAGGTTCCCAAAGGTCTCTAGAGGAAAGTATTGTTTCCTTGTGGTTGGCCTTTGTCTCCCTCATCCTGACATACCCCAGTAGATACATAAGAAATAGTTATGATTGCCTTTTATTGAGTGCCCAAGATGTGAAGATTTTGGTGTGTTACAGAGGTGATGTCAGCACATGAGGAGTGACTTACCCAAGGACACACAGTAGTGATGATTCTGTCTCTGGGGACTCAGAGAGGTCTCCTGACTCCAGTTTTCTGTCCAGACAGAAGAGGCATCCACAGTGCCTTGTGTTTCTGTGTCTCATATACCTGTGCTTCCCAGATGTTTATCTAGAAGTTAAAATAATGGGGCAGAAGAACAACTGATGGTGCAGTATTTTTTTCCATCTTATAATCTATTGATCTGATAACGCTAAAGCTCATATAGTATATATGGTTCCTCTTACTATATTTCCAAATGATGCCTCTGTTAGCTATGCAATTTTTTTAATTTTTTAATTTAATTTTATTTTTTTTTTGAGATGGAGTCTCACTCTGTCACCCAGGCTGGAGTGCAGTGGCCCTATCTCGGTTCACTGCAAGCTCCACCTCCTGAGTTTGCGCCATTCTCCTGCCTCAGCCTCCCGAGAAGCTGGGACTACAGGCGCCTGCCACCATGCTCGGCTAATTTTTTGTATTTTTAGTAGAGACAGGGTTTCACCATATTAGCCAGGATGGTCTCGATCTCCTGACCTCATGATCTGCCCGCCTTGGCCTCCCAAAGTGCTGGGATTACAGGCGTGAGCCACCGCGCCTGGCCAGCTATGCAAATTTTTATTGCAAAATCATGTATTTTATGGGAGGTTGAAGGAACTATTTGTTGAAGGTCTACTATGTGCTAAACACTTTATATAGCCATTTTTATTTATAATTCACAATAATCCTAATACAGAAAATCTTACTCCCATTTTCTAGAAGAGAAAACTAAAGCTCACAGAATTTTAGTAACTTTTCTAGGTTGACACAACTAGTAAGTGGCAAAGCTGGTATTTTAGCTGTTGATCTCCACAGTAAATAGACTGGTTGCTATAGTATACGTTATATGGTGACCATGTGATGTCATGCACATAAAGGAATTCAACACCTATTGATGAGGATGATAATAAACATGAAATAATCTCTCTTGGGTTTAGACATCTGGGTTGTGGTGTTCATACAAATTTAGTTAGAGCAAAAACTCAATGTATTGCACTCAACAAAGCCTAGCCCAGCTTTCGCACTAGGTTGAAATGCCACCTAATCTGTATATTAAAAGTTCATTAAAACCTAAGTGTGTAGAAGAGCATTCTTGCCTTTTCTTCACTAAATTTCTATTTTTGGACCTGTGCCATACTGTTTGGATTATTACGAGCTCTCATACGTTAAACAACTAGAACCCCTTTATCATGACTTTTATTAATTTCTTGCCTATCCTTTTCCATTTGATTTTTTTTAAGAGACTTTTGAAGGAAAATCTACCAAACTTCCAAATGCCGGCAGGGTGGGGGGCAGGAGTGATAAAATTCACAGCTTTACAAGACTGAATCATCATCCCATCCAGGAATCTGGTATCCTAATTGTCTAATTATCCAACAGGCACATTTCTTTTCAATTATTTCAAAATTTAGAATTTACTTTAGATCTTCAATAACTGCTAAAAGTTGATCTGAAAATAATCAGGCTAAAGACCAAGGCCCTTTTTAACCTGGCTTGTGAAGTGGTTTCTGTATAAGAGGTAATTAGTGACCTACCTACTTCAAGTACTGCAATGAAGATGAAACAGAAAAAGGCAGTGGGACAATATGATATATAATATTTTGGAACGTATTAAAGGAGAGCAAGACTTGAGGTAGCAAAACCAGAAAGGGATCTTCCACCATAGACCAGGAGTGGGGAGTTGTTTGCCTAAAAAAAAGTAGCAAGAGTGGAAATGGAAGAAAAGTGGGAAGATCCAGAGATATTTAGAAGAGAAGGTCAAGATTACTTGGTGGCAGGGAGGAAGAGGGAATGAGGGATGATTCCCAGATTTCTTGCTTGGGCAACAGTGTGGGTTCTAGAGCCATCTATTAAGATAAGAGAAACGAAGAGGGGGGAGTTTTGTGTGTGGAAAAGATCAAGGAAGGATGGTAAAATCACTTGGGACATATTGTATTTGAGGTCCTTCAGGGACATTCAGGTGGATATATCTAATCGTTAATTAAAATGGATCTGAATCAAATTTATACTGAAGTTCATGTAGAAAAATAAACATACAAGAATGTTTAGGAAAAAAGGGAATCTACTGAGGGGGCCTAGCTCTACCAGATATATGAAATTATATATGCTCTATAATTCAACTGGTATATGGATAGCAAACAGACCAATGAAATAGAATAGAAAGCCCAGAAAGTTTTCCAAGTACATATGGAAATTTGATATGTAATAAAGGTGGCATCTCAAATCCCTAAAGCAAAGATGGACTTTCTGATGCCAGAACAACTGAGAAACCAATTGGAAAAAGAAAACAAAAGATCCGTGAATACTTTATGCCATACACAAATATAAACTCTAAATGTAAAGAAAACCATACGAATACTAGAAGAAAACATGGGTGAATGCTTCTTGGACCTTATGTAGGAAAAGATTTCTTAACTATGAATCGAAATTTAGAGGCAATAAAAGTTTAATAAATTTGACTATTTTTTTTAATGCATGGCAGAAAAACACCATAAACAAAGCCAAAAAGCAACTGACAAACTGGGGACAAAATTGCAACATATGTAACAGTTAATGTATTAAGAAAACTTGAAAACTGAGGTGAGAAAGACCAACAACCCACTAGAAAAATGTGGAAAAGACATGAACCGACAATTCACAAAGAAAGATATTTAAATTGTCCTTAAACAGAGATAAGGCAATATAAAATGCCATTGATACTACTTCTCAACTATCATATCAGTGAACATTTAAAAGAATGTCATAGGTTATGTTGGAAAAGGTGTTGGGAAACAAAACACTATATTACTGGTGGGAATGCAAAAATAGGTCTGAGATTCTGGGGAGGGAATAGCCTGGAGATGTAGCTCTGGAAGTCATTGGTCTTTACAGGAAATGAATGAGATCGAACAGGGAGACAGAACTTGAGGACTGAGGAGAGAGGAGGCCCAGGACAGAACCCTAGGAACACCGCCACTCAAGGTGGCAGCTCAGCTTCCTGGCAGGCACCACCACCCTGGGCTCTGGAGTCAGGCAGAGACGGTCTTGAAAGCGGGCTCTGAGTTCTGGGGCTGAGCGCTCTCGGCAAAGTCGGGTACCCTCTTTGATCAGCTGTCACACCTGGCGATAATGGGCATCACAGAGAGATACCCTGCGAGGATGCTGTGAGATGCGCCAGGTAAAGCACCTGGGGTCAGAAAGCCACCCTCTCCTCTTCTTCTCCGTGACTGCCCTTTGCTACACAAACACACCCCGATCCCGACCGTCCCCAGCCTCCCGGCTCCTCGGGGATGGATGGTGAGGTGGGTCAGGGAAGGGGGGCCGAGCTCGGGTGACGCGGCGCTCACGTGACCCGCCGGGCGCCTACGTGGGCACCAGCCCCCGCGCCTGCCCGCCCGCCCTGCGGTCCGGTCCTGGCGCCCGCGCAGAACCAGCTGTCTGAGCTGTCCGGGCGGCGGGGGAGCAGCGAGCGGGCTTCTGCGAGCCGGAGGAGGCACAGGCCTGTCCCGGGTCCCGGCAGGTCAGTGTGAAGGTGGGCGCTGCCGGCGGACCGGGGAAGAGGAGGAGGTGGCTGGCAGTAGGAGTAGGGAGGGGGTGGAGAAAGGATCCGGGGAATTGGTGAGGAGGGGGATGCGGAGCGGGCGGGGGTGAGGGCGGGGGAGCCTGGCCCGCCTTCTTGACGACCCCCTGCACTGAGCCCTCCATCCATTTTAGTGCTGGAAATGGGGTATGGGGGAGCAACCCTGCAGTGCAACAGTGAAACGTAGACGTATTCTGGAAATAACCCCCTCTCACAATCTGCTCCCATGGAAACATCTGACCTCCGCAAAAACGGGGTGGCGCTGGGACAGGTTGCCTCCAGGGGAAGGGGACACAGAGACAAACGCAGTTTGGAAAGCATCCTGGTTTGGTGCCCGAGGCCTGGAAAGAAATGGCGGCTGGGGTGCGGGGGATGTAGGGGAGGAAAACGTTGGATGAGCAGGGCCTGGACTCAGGAAAGGGAACCGAGTCCCTGTGAGACTGCTGAGCGCGCAGCCCCTACCCCTGTCTCCTGTCTGTCCACAGGTCTGCGCGTCTGTTCCCAGGACTCTGCGAGGCCTGAAAAGGAGCAGCAACCTGTCCAGAATCCCCGCAGGTCCGTGAAGGTGGTTGGAGGGGAGCTCCATGGACAAGGCCCTATAAGGGTTGAGAGTGTGGAGGGCCCGGCCAGGGCCGAATTGGGGCCCCTGCCCATCCCCCAGTCACATGAACACACACCTTACCAGGCTGAACCAGGGCAGAGAAGGTGGCAGGGCCGGCCAGGCAATGGCTGGCTCACGTGTGTGGGAGGAGTGGCAGGCTACGTGGTGGGCAGAAGGCCCTCTTGCAGGCCCGGCGAGCTTAGGGGAACCCTCACCAGGGGTAAGATGCAAGTACTATCCAGACCTGCATTCCATCCCACGCACTCAGTCTCCCATGTCTCTTAATTGTCTCCTCTTCCCTCCATTCCCATCCCCCAGGACAGGAAAAGGAGGGGAAATCTCGACATGGAAAAACCCTACAATAAAAATGAAGGAAACCTGGAAAACGAGGGAAAGCCAGAAGATGAAGTAGAGCCTGATGATGAAGGAAAGTCAGACGAGGAAGAAAAGCCAGACGTGGAGGGGAAGACAGAATGCGAGGGAAAGAGAGAGGATGAGGGAGAGCCAGGTGATGAGGGACAACCAGAAGATGAGGGGAGCCAGGAAAAGCAGGGCAAGTCCGAAGGTGAGGGCAAGCCACAAGGCGAGGGCAAGCCAGCCTCGCAGGCAAAGCCAGAGAGCCAGCCGCGGGCCGCCGAAAAGCGCCCGGCTGAAGATTATGTGCCCCGGAAAGCAAAAAGAAAAACGGACAGGGGGACGGACGATTCCCCCAAGGACTCTCAGGAGGACTTACAGGAAAGGCATCTGAGCAGTGAGGAGATGATGAGAGAATGTGGAGATGTGTCAAGGGCTCAGGAGGAGCTAAGGAAAAAACAGAAAATGGGCGGTTTTCATTGGATGCAAAGAGATGTACAGGATCCATTTGCCCCAAGGGGACAACGGGGTGTCAGGGGAGTGAGGGGTGGAGGTAGGGGCCAGAGGGGCTTACACGATATCCCATACCTTTAATGCCTTTGGCCTTCCATTCTGACTTCTCTCATGAGAATATTGCTGGCCCTGCTTTCCCTGGTAGGTATTTGCCAGGCCCAATGCTTTAACCTTAAGCTGATACTTTGCTTTAGATGTCAATCTCGTTACCAGCAGCCTTTTGACCCAACTACAGTGCTCTATATTTTAGTAGAGGATTTTCACCCATGTGCATGGAAAAGATGTTCATGGTACATTGTAAAAAAATAAAGAATAAAAATAAAAAAAAGTTTGCAGAACCGCATATACAGTATCAGCCCGTTTTTATAAAAATGTAAATGTTTGCATAATGCATTTGTGCACAAAGAAAACTCTGAAAGCATGTACACTAAAAAGCAGCCAATGGTTATTCCTGAATGGTAGCCAAAAATGAGTTCAATCATCTGCTGGGTAGGTACCTCCATGCCATTCTGCTGTTGTTGTGCCCATCCTCATGTCTTCCCTAGGTGTAACTAGGTGAGTGGGCACTGCTACCCTTTCTCCTGTGTCCTATGGCTCTGCCATAGGATGTGATTCTTTTTCTTTTCTTTGCTGTCATCTCCACCTTTTCTTAAAGGATATGTCCTTTTGTCATAATAATAATTTGAAAAACTAAATGAGAAAACAATACATAAGCAATTGAACTGTTCAGTGAGCCTATGAGGGTAATAAAGACACTTAAAATTTCTGTTGCCAGAACATAAAATGATAAGTAAAATTTATATTACCTCTGAGACTAATAGCTAAAGGTATCAACCTGGCAGTTATAACAAATCCATTGCTGTAAGGGTCAGTCTTGCCATCTGTGAAATGGGAATAATACTTATCTCACAGGACTGCACAGTGGATCAGATGAGGTATTGAACATGTGAGCTGTCCTTACAGTAGCAGGACCCAGCACCCTGTCAGACACTTAAAAGAAGAGCTGAAGGTAGGTTTCACCTGTCCCCAGGAACAAGTCCAAGCAGCTGAGTAGAGGATGCCATCCTTCTCTGGATACTATCATATCATATCTGCTGGGCACTTCTCTTCTGCTATGCCCTGTATATGTACTGTCTGCTGACAGCCGCTGATATAATGGAGTACTCATGGTGACAAAGCCCTTCTGATTCCCTACAGTCCCCAAAGGGCCACAGTTCCAACTGCAGGCGGTTCTACTCTAGGGCTTCCTGGGGCCCACTGTATTACACAGTTCTTAGCAAAGTAGCCATTAACATTTTTAGTTCATTTTATATTTGCTTACAGCTTCATTTCTCTTCTTAGGACTTGAGACATTTTGGGTCTACTTGGGACTGTGTCCTGAGTCTAACCTATTGACTAGATAATGAACTGTGTTTGAACCAAACATCCTACTCCAGTACCACAGGTGAACCCTATCTAAATTTTTGTACCTTTCTAAGTGTGAGTTTTCTCTAAAAAGCTTGTTGGCTGGCCTACTATACAAAATCAAGGGACTTATCCATACATAATCACAGAGATAACCCTGTGTGAAACATCCCTTCCCATACTAAACCACTTGCAACTGAAAGAGGTACAGTGCTCTTAAAAATATTAAAAACTCTCAGGCATTTTTATTTAGCCCACCAGTATATTCCCTTATCAAAACAGACTTTTAAAAAATTCATCCTGATATCCCTTACACTGTACTTGACATATATATTTAACAATTACTTGACTATGACTGAGTCAGGAGCCCTGAGGTTTTGGCCCAGTTTATCCTTGGGCAAGTAATTTCACTTGTCGAAAATACAACTTGAAATTCAAAACTAAATAATACAGGAGAAGTGATAATTCTAAATTCAGCTCATAAACCATTTTAACAGTGTATAAAAATGATTTTTTTCAAAATATGTTAAACGACTCCCTGGGAAGCTTGTTTAGAATGTAGCATCCTGGTCCCTGGCACAAACCCAGAATTTCTAGGAAAATGGTTCTAGAACCTGCAATTTCCACAAACTGCCCAGGTAATTCTGATGTACACTAAAGTTTAACACTTTGCATGATCTCAATTAATTAAATATAAACCATAAAAAAGTAGGAGGAAGTATAAGGAAATGTTTATCTGAATTCAGTAGGCACAAAGCATATATGTACCAACATCTTTTAAAAAATCAAACTATGTGCTAGATTTGTACATTGACAACTACAAAACATTTATGAGAGAAATGAAGATTTAAATAAATGGAAAGATACATTGTTCATGGATTGGAATGGCTGCAAAGAAACAGTGGCACAGGACTCCCTCAAGGTGGATGCCCTAACCAAGGTTCTGCCTGTTTTTACCCTTTGGGAAGGTCTTGAAATCTAAAGACTACCAGGTCACATTCCCTTCTAAATAGTCCGTATCTGGTTATTCAGGTAGTGAGTGTACCCACTGGGGGCATCCACTGCAGAGGAAACTATCGATAATTGGGAGGAAAAAATGACCATCTCTGTAGATATCATTCAGCCTCCCCATTCCCCTGCCACTGCTATCCCAATGTTTGCTCAATGGGCCCTTGTACAAAACTATGCGAGAGCTCAACAATACTGACTTCCCATACCAACCTGATCTGACTATTCTCATAGCTGAGTATGAAACCTGCCAACAGCAGAGGCCATTGCTGAGACCCTAATATGGTATCATTTCCAGAGGGAAGGTTGATTATATTACTTTGTGCCCTATAAATATATACAATTATAAATTGTCAATTAACAATAATTATTTAAACTATGAGAAATAATACACAAGTACAATGTAGCAAGATACAATATCAATATACAAAATCAATTGCATTTCTTTATAGTAGAAATTAACAATCTGAAATGAACTTAAAATGATTCCATTTACAATGGTATCAAAAAGAAAAACAATCTTGGGAATAAATTTAACAAAACAAACGCCAGACTTGTATATGGAAAAGTACAAAATGTTGTCAAAAGAAATTAAAGACAACATAAATAAATGGAAATAAATTCAATGTTCATTGACTGAAAGACTTAACATTGTTCAGATGGCAATATTCCCTCATTGATCTACAGACTTAAGGCAATCGCTATCAAAATCTCACCTGGCTTCTTTGCAGAAAATGACAAAGTGATCCTAAATTGTAATGACCGAAAACAGACAAAAGAATCTTGAAAAACAGTAACAAATGGAGTTCTTACACTTTCTAACTTCAAAACTTACCACAAAGCAATAGTAATCAAGACAGGGTGGTCCTACCATAAGGATAGATATATAAATCAATGGAATAGAACTGAGAATCTAGAAGTAAACTCTCACTTTTATGCTCAACGGATTTTCAACAAGTCTACCAAGACAATTCAAAGGGAAGATAATAGTTTTTAAACTAATTGTGATGAAACAATTTGATATCCACATGCCAAAGAACGAATTTAGAACATTATGTCACACCCTATATCAAAGTGAACTCAACACAGATCATAAATATAAATGAAAGAGCTAAAACTATACAGCTCTTAGAAGAAAACATATGCGTAAATATTCATGACCTTGAGTTAGGCAATTTTACTTAGATATGACAACAAAATCATATATGACAATAGATACATTCCACTTCATGAAAATGGAAATGTTTTGTGCTTCAAATGATAACATCGAGAAAATGAAAAGATGATCTACCAGATGGGAGAAAATAACTGCAAATAATACATCTGATAAGGAGCTAATTTCCAGAATATATAAAGAACTCTTACAACTCAACCATTAAAAAAAAGAGAACCCAATTTTAAAATGGGCAAATGATTTGAATAGATATTTCTCCCAAGAAGATATACAAATGCCCAATAGGCATATGAAAAGAAGCTCAACATTATTAGTCACTAGGGAATGTAAACCAGAACCACAAAGTGATACCACTTCACACACAGTAGGATGGCTAAAACGAAAGAGATAGAAAATAAGTTTTGGTGAGGATGGAGAGAAACGAGTCCTCACACATTGCTGATGGGAATGCACTCGCTTGGCATAACAAATCGGCAATTCTTTAAAATGTTAAACATAATGTGTCATATGACCTAGCAATTCCATTCCTAGGTATATACCCAAGAGAAATGAAAACATACAGTCATGTAAAATGTATATACAAATGTTTATAGCAGTATTGTTCATAATAGCCAAAATATAGAAAAAAAAATCCATGAACTGGTGAATAAACAAATATGGTATATTATACAATATATTTGGCAATAAAAAGGAAGTAGTACTGATACATGGTATAGCATGGATGAACCTTGAAAACATTATGCTAAGTGAAAGTAGGCAGTCACAAAATACCACATATTTTATTATTCAATTTATAATAAATGGCCATATCAACAAATCTATAGAGAAAGTAGATTCGTGGTTGCATAGGGCTTACAGAAGGGCAGGAATGAAAAATGATTGGTAATAGGAAGGTTTTCTTTAGGGTTGATGAAAATGTAAAACTGGATAATGGTGATGGTTGCCCACCTCCATAAATATTCTAAAAACCATTGAATTGTGCACTTTACATGGGTGAATTATAAGGCATATGAATTATATCTCGATAAAGCTGTTAAAGAAAAATAATTATCTACAATAAAAATAAGAACAATGTGTTACATGGCTTGTAACATATGTAGAAGTAAAATGTACAATGTGGTGGTTAATACTGAGTGTCAACTTGATTGGATTGAAGGATGCAAAATATTGTTCCTGGGTGTGTCTGTCAGGGTATTGCCAGAGATTAACACATGAGTCACTGAACTGGGAGACGCAGACCCACCCTCAATCTGGGTAGACACCATCTAATCAGCTGCTAGCGTGACTCGGATAAAAGTAGGCAGAGGAACGTGGAAAGACTAGAATGGCTTAGTCTTCCGGCCTACATTTTTCTCCCTTGCTGGATGCTTCCTGCCCTCAAACATCAGACTCCAAGTTCTTCAGTTTTTGGACTCTTGAACCTTCGACCACAGACTAAAGGCTGCACTGTCGGCTTCCCTACTTTTGAGGTTTTGGGACTCAGACTGGCTTCCTTGCTCTTCAACTTGCAGACGGCCTATTGTGGGACTTCGCCTGGTGATTGTGTGAGTCAATACTCCTTAATAAACTCCCCTTTATATATACATCTATCCTATTAGTTCTGTCCCTCTAGAGAACCCTGACTAATACGTACAACAATAGAAAAAAAGATGGGAGGGGGAATGCACAGTTGTAGGGTTCTTCCATCATCCATGAAATCATTTACAGTTGACCCTTGAACAACACAGGTTTGACCTGTGTTTTTTGATGTGGATTTT